GTTTGTGTTCCGCGAAAAACAAAGATGCCGCGATGAGTTGCGTGACGAGAGGAACGCAGTGAGAATGAAAGCAGCCGCCCACAGACGAGATTACTGTGGCAAACGATGACTGGCCCCACTTCTTTCTCCCCCTGACTCACTTCACTCATCTGTCTCATCCCTCTTGCCTTTCCTTTTTCCAAAACCCGTATTTCATACGGAGATGCTTTATGAGCACGAGAGAAAACAATGCCCAGGGTAAATACTGCATTTAACACTCTCCTGCTTTCTCTTTTCCCCTCATGAGTATTTAGTTTTATAATTTGATTTAATTCACTTTACTGGCATTGAAGTTGCACGGCAATGTAAAAACATCTAAACAAATTAAGTTGTTGTTAAGTCAGATGTCTGACCAACCATGTTGGGTGTTTGATGTGTGATGCCTTGGGGTAGTGCTGGGCGAGAGGGGGGGAGAGAGATAGAGAGAAAGGGGGTTGGGGGGGTGTTTTGATGATGACCTCACACCTACCTCAACCAACACTGGGCCTCACTGTACTGTGAAATCACAACTAGAGCTTCTGCAGGGAACGGTGGTGGGGGTTTGTTCCACAACTGTCAGATTATTTACTTATTCATTTTGTTTGTGGAGTAATTAAGTCCTAATAATTCATCACGTGTTGCATTGCCAAATGTTTGAGAGTATTCAAGGAAAATATCTAGATAAAGAGACAACATTCTTTAAATGGCAGTGCTCGACGAGGACGCTTGCCAGGCTGCCATTGGCCAATTAGGCCCGCTTGTTGAACGCAGCCTTTCTCTAAATCCCGCTTGTTATCCGATTCACCGTTGCACGCAACCGTTGTTCACATGTCGCAATAGTCGAACTATCTACTGGATCGGATCGAGTTATCCAGGAGTGTTAGTCGGATCGTAGTCGGACCGCACATAGTCGGACAAAGGTGTTTACATGAAACGGATAATTCGATTTCAGTCCGACTAAGCCAGTTATTCGAATCCATGTAACCAGGCTGAACAACCAGATGAGCCAAAACAAAGAAAAAAGGGCATAAAAGGACAAAGAAGGCTCCGGGGTCTAATTAACCCAATATCTTTGAGCTAGATGGAATTATTCTACTGCAAAACACATTAAGTTCACTTGTTTTAGGTAGCATAAGATCCATGTGGCTCAACAAATGAGCGGGCAGCTAAACGACACATTGACGTGTCGATGACTTTCATCACTAAGGTGACACAATTGCATAGAATCTTAATTATTGGAAATGGCTAAATGGCAGCCATGTTTTCATTTTAGGCAATCAAAGGCTGATGGCTGGAAACAACAATAGTGAGTGTAGAGCCCTGAACAGTTTACTTCAAACGCGTGAACTTGATGTGTGGCATAGGTGTGACTATTTGTCTGCCGGCGTGTTCTATAGATGTATAGACATCATATGATCATATGATGATCCCACAGCACACATGCAAGAGAAAGAAACACGCATACTGTGACTCACATCTCGGAGAGTACGTCATCAAGAGGGCTCTGCGCAACATCCTCATGTCTGCATTATCCATTACCCACACTCCCCTTTTTGCTTTATTCACTGATGCACGTTGCACACACACAAATGACACAGCGGCTTTGTGGGCGAGAGGAACTGAGCCGTGCCTGCCCACTTTCTGCAGATCTCTGTCTGCAGTGGAGATGTGCTGCGATAGGAGCCGGGGCAGCAAGGCGAGCACTGACAACTGAGCGGGATGGTTTGCGGTTTGTTGGGACGGGGAGGAAGTGGGCCAGCGTGTCCACGCTCCCGCAGAAAGAACAGGAGAGGATGAGTCCTCCGTGTGTTCAAAATCAGTTCAGCAGCTCTGTGGAAAATTGTAGTTTTCAGTCTGAGAGAGAGAGAGAGCGAGGGAGAGAGAGAGAGAGAGAGAACTTGCTTGTGCTTTCTGACATAACAAAAGATCGGGCTGCAGAAGAAGCCCTAGGGGGGTATTTGTTTTGCGGCGCTTGTGTTGCAGCCACACAAACATACACACCCTTTGGAGATGAAGCAGACATTGGGTTGGATAGGGCTGAATTCCAAGAGAGCAGCTGAGCAGGGAGCATGAGCTGTTAAACACATAACATGTGAAATATATTATATGTTATATAATGATTATAACCTTTTACATAAAAAATACCTTGTCAGTTGTGCCCTGCAGTACTATTTTAAATAGTTATTATTTTGTAACATTTCCCTGAGTTTGTCAACCTATTTTTATATAACGGACCACAACCCTATTATAGAATTACAGTGGATCGCCCACTAACAACGACTTAAAACCATGTATAACATTCCTTTAGTCTCCCTGGGGCAAAGTCCCCCATGTTGTACTTACTGCCTGCATCCGGGTGTGACAGAAGGGTCTGTGGGGTAGAGCGAGCGCCGTTGCCCTTCAGATCATGTTGGGGGACTCGTCTCACAGCCTGTCCTGCGCCGGGCTGCTTCACCCTTCCATCAGGGAGTGTTTGACCCAGCCCGGGGCAACCGGCATCACCACAGGAGAGAGGGGGATGGGGGTGGCAAGGGAGGTGTGGAGCGCTACCGAAAATACCCCCACATCACTACAGCAACAGGCAGCCAAGCCAGAAGCACTCGAGCACACACACACATACACGCAAAATACAGACATCTGTACCAGGAGAGACCCCAGGGTCTGTGTGACAGTCGAGGGGAAAAAACGGTCGCGTGTGGGAGCATACAGGGGCAGGAAATAAATAACTGGTCATTTAAACACACACATGAGCCCAGACAAGTCAAATACCTTGAGATCGCCAGCCGTATGATTTCACATTCACATTACATCAATACAACACATTTTCATTTGTGAGTGATTTGGATTTGAGCTGCAGCTGAGAAGTATGTCATCTGACCTCGCTGGCCAGCCGATCGTTACAGCGTGTTAATGAGACACACAACCACCCCTCGCACTCTTTGACCCTGTGTGGCTGCAGAACCTCCCTAAAGGAGGCCTGGAAACAATCAGTCATGAACACATCTCCCCCTCTTCCCACGCGCTCACTCAGTGGGCTTTCCGCCTCACAGAGCTCTCTTCACATATCCCCAATACCCCAGTCAATGTTCACGTCCATCTGGCTGATTCTTTAAAGAGCAGAAGAGCAAACCTGATGAGTGACCAACTCATCAACTCAAGTTTAAAATAGGCCGGAGTTGTTAACTTGTAGCTGTCTCTCTCATGAGACAAAAAAAGAAGGCTACTGAAATAAAACAGCAGGACATGTAGGTTGAAATGTGACCTCTTGATTACGGCCTTCAGATTTATCTTCCTCCACTAGAAACTATGATGTGTTTAAGGGTCCAATGAGTTATCGGGTGAATCAAGAGCATGACAAAATGAGCCAAAGATAGGATTGACATTAATGTGGTAGTCTGTCTGTCTCTGATGAAAATTGGTTCAAGAGCTCCTTACACTCCAAGGTTTACCTCTGGGAAAGAGTTGCAATGGTATTACCTTCCAGCTGAACCAACATTTCCCTTTCTCACCCTCGCAGTCTTGGCACATAGGTTGATCTGGGTTCTTGCAACAATTACATGCATTACAATACTTTATTGAGGGAGAGAGCGTAAATGGCTGAACAACTTGGTAAGCAGTCCTTATGAACGGGACGGTCCCGGCATCAGCGAGCCACAGCACACCATCTGGTGTCAGACCACTTTTAAGAACGATTAAAAATCTCTTCTAAACATTACAGATTTGTAAAATATAATATTGAGTACTTAAGTGTTGGGCGAAAGACAGGGAGGGTGTAAAACAAGAGGGATGATCAGGTGATGTCTTGCGCTTTGCATCAAGTGGTGCTCATTAATCGTGATGAGGTGCCAGGTTTCATCCGGCTCCGACCGGCAGAAGGTCCCAAGGGATTTCTCTGGGACGACAGTGGAACCGTGCTCAGTGGAGGGGAAGACCCACTCGCTGCTCTGTAGCCCTGGGGCCCGATGCCATGTAACAAGGGAGACAACTATGATTGGGTGAATTTTATCACATTTTTTAATCAAGCAGCACACATCAAAAGAGGAAAACAAGTCCCCTTTAGGAGGGCAGTCTCAAAGGCTTTGTGCCTTGATCATTTCATATGTAACAGTAATTTGTGGATTGATTTAGTTTGGATTTTGATATACTGTTCTATGTGGTATGCATTATTCAACAAGCCTATTTTCCATGCCCTTAACCAGGCCATCTTCATGCAGCCTTGTGTAGAAATGGGGCAGTTCTATCTGTCTGCTTTCTGCCAGCTAGGCTCCCAACCTGAAAGCTGCACAAGTTCTGCCGTGCCATGGCAGCTGGTATGTGGTGCATTTGTTGTGGTTATTTCACAAGTTTGGCTTTTGTCGTGGTTGTACAGGTTCCAAAGACATTCCACATTTAAATGTCTTTGGAGAGACATGTATTAATGAGAGGTTGCCCACAAGATAAATAATTAACCACAGCTGCATCTGCAGTTGTAATGTAACTTGAGACGGATTTGAAAGCCCTTGAATTAGTTTGAGAGATGAAACCATTGAGACTTAAGCCAAGCCCAAATTGATATTTATAAAGCACCCTATCATTACAGCGAGCAGCCCTGTTTGAAAGGAAACCTCATGCATTAAAGCGTGTTCTGAAGATAGAGGTGATTTTTTTTTTGCCATTGAAAAGTGAAACGTCAAAAAAGATGTCATGTTTAATTATTCAGCAGCTCAATACAGTTTACTAATGGGAATGGTATGTTATTCCCCTTTACATTTCAGCATCATAACTGCTTGAAAGATTGCAGAATTTTCTTTCAGGATTAAATGTGTATCTGTCTTGGTGTAGAGCCACTTGGTGATGAAATGGCTAACTTTCTCCTCTTCTATAAATTGTAGTTGTACTGTTGTGGTCATTACTGTTCAGATACAAGATACAAATCAGATACAATGTGTAACCAAAAAAATCCTTCTCCTCCCCAACCGTCCCCCACCCCGTTCTGTTTACAGGATGGTTCCAAACAAAGGCAGGTGAGGAAGAAAACGGTGTCCTTCAGCTCCATGCCAAGTGACCGCAAGATCAACAGCACAGCTGCTTGCATGGCCTTTATGATGGAGGGTTGTGAGATGAAGAAAGTGCGCTCCAACTCACGCATGTACAACCGTTACTTCCTGCTCGATCCAGACATGCACTGGCTCCGTTGGGAGCCGTCCAAGAAAGATTCGGAGAAGGCAAAACTGGAGATCAAGGGCATTAAGGAGGTCCGTTTGGGAAAGAAAACCCCAGTTCTGCGCAGCAATGGTCTCTCAGATCAGTTCCCCGATGAATGCGCCTTCTCAATCATCTATGGGGATAACTATGAGTCATTGGATCTGGTAGCCAGTACAGCAGATGTTGTCAGCACTTGGGTGATGGGCCTGAGGTATCTGGTGTCATATGGCCGGCATACAGTGAACATGGTGGAACCCAGCCAACCGAGCCTTCGGACGTCTTGGATTGGTTCAGTGTTTGACCTAGCAGATATGGAAAAGGAAGGACACATAGACCTGTTCAGGGCCACCCAGATAATCAAGGGGCTCAACCCTGGAATGAAAGAGTCACGGATAGAGCTTAAGTTCAAGGAACTCCAAAAAGCTAAGGACCAATACGGCGAAGCGATTAACATGGACACCTTTGTGGAAGCCTACTGTGAGCTCTGCACGCGACCGGAGATCTTCTTCCTTATGGTACAGTTTTCCAGTAACAAGGAGTTTCTGGACAGTAAAGATCTGATGCTCTTTGTGGATGTAGAGCAAGGCGTGGAAAGTGTAACAGAGGACATGTGCAGGGATATTGTTCAGAAATTTGAGCCATCCGCTGAAGGTAGAGAGAGGGCCTACCTTTCCATCGATGGCTTTACACACTACCTCCTCTCCTCCAAATGCCACATCTTCGACCCCCAGCACAAACGTGTGTGCCAGGATATGACCCAGCCTCTGTCCCACTACTACATCAACTCGTCCCACAATGCCTCTCTCCTGGAAGATCACTTTTGGGGTTCGTCAGACATCAGCAGCTACATCCGAGCCATAAGAATGGGCTGTCGGAGCATTGAGGTCATTGTATGGGACGGCCCTGACAATGAACCGGTGGTGTATGTGGGTAGTTCTGTGGCCTCACATCTTGCTTTCTCCAAAGTTCTAGACGTCATAAACCAGTATGCTTTTGAGAGCTCTGAGTATCCCCTGATTCTCTGCCTAGTGAACCACTGCTGCATCCCCCAGCAAAAGGTCATGGCCCAGCATATGAAGAAGATTCTTGGAGACAAGCTGTTTGTTGAACCCTCCAACAAGGAAGAAAACTACCTTCCCTCCCCTGAGAAACTCAAAAGTAAAATCCTCATTAAGGGCAAGAGGCTCCCTCACAACTTTACTGACGCTGAAGGCGACGTGACGGATGAGGAGGAGGGGCTGGAAATGACTCGAAGAGTGGGAGCTGATGAGAAAGACCAGTTGAATGGCATAGGTTTCAGAAGATTCCGACTGTGCAGGGAGCTCTCTGATCTTGTTTCTCTCTGCAGGTCAGTCCAGTTCAGGGACTTTGAGACCTCAAGGAGAGACCAAAAATACTGGGAGATTTGCTCCTTCAACGAGGTCGATGCGAATAGGTTTGCCAATGAGTTCCCAGAGGAATTTGTCTGCTATAACAAGCGCTTTCTCTCCAGGGTGTATCCCACACCTATGAGAATTGATGCCAGCAACATGAATCCCCAGGATTTCTGGAAGTGTGGCTGCCAGATTGTGGCCATGAACTACCAGACGCCAGGCCTGATGATGGATCTCAACCTCGGCTGGTTCCGGCAGAACGGCAACTGCGGATACGTTTTGCGTCCGGCAATCATGAGGGAGGAGGTGTCCTACTTTAGTGCCAATGCTCGGGACTCGCTGCCAGGGGTGTCGGCTCAGCTTCTTCACATCAAAATCATCAGCGGCCAGAATCTGCCAAAGCCTCGCGGCTCGGCAGCTAAGGGCGATGTGGTGGAGCCCTACATATATGTGGAGATTCACGGCATCCCGGCTGACTGCGCTGAGCAGAGAACAAAGACTGTGTCTCAGAATGGTGACAACCCTATTTTTGATGAGAGTTTTGAATTCCAGATAAATCTACCGGAACTCGCAGTGCTGCGCTTTGTGGTGCTGGATGACGACTACATCGGAGATGAGTTCATTGGCCAGTACACCATCCCTTTTGAGTGCCTACAGCCAGGCTACAGACATGTCCCCCTGCAGTCTCTGACGGGAGAGTTCCTACCCAACACCACTCTGTTCGTCCACGTAGCCATCACCAACAGACGGGGGGGAGGAAAGGCACATAAGAGGGGCCTTTCTGTCAGGAAGGGTAGGAAGACCCGGGAGTACGCCACCACAAAGACCACAGGGATCAAGGTGGTGGATGAGCTCTTCCGAGCTTCCACCCAGCCCCTCAGGGAGGCTACTGACCTCAGAGAAAATGTGCAGGTAAGAAACTATTTACTTTAGTTTTGTGTAAAACCTAATCATAAAACCATTACCAATATTAGATGTGGCACATTGAGTTGTCAGCTGTTCAGCAACTGGTTTCTTTACTAGAAGGTCCAAAGGGAGCAGGGATGCCGATATCATTTTCTACACCTCAGCATAGAATCGGTCCAGTGAAATTTGTTCAAATTTTTTTCTGAGGCAACTTTGATTAACATTATTCTATAATAAAGTTACTCATGAGACTTTGAAACGGCTGATTCCATGCCAGTCGAGTTTATACCAAGGACAGCAGGACAGTAGGACAAGGAATTGTGTTCTTAATAGAGCAACGGATGTTCATTTTGTTATTTTATTAATGATTGATAGAATATCCCATTAATTATTATTATTATTATTTGCTATGTTATAGAATTATTTACCATTTTATAATTATTGAATATTAGGTTTTAAAGCAAAAAGGAAGAATCCTGTCTCGCTTTAAAGATTTGTTAGCTGTTAAGCAAATCAGATAACTGTCTTTTCTAATTCATTGTGCAGGAGAGGGTTGTCCTGAAAGGATGCAGAAAAATAAAATGTAGCGCACAACTTTTTATTTATCCGTCATAAATACCAAGGTCTGTCCATCTGTCTTAAGTAAGCAGTAACCTCAGTCTAATGGCACAGCAAACAACAGACCAGACCAAACTAAATAAACAAGCTGTGATTAGAGATCCTGAGGCATGCTGTCATACATTTTTCAGTTGTGGAAACAGGCAATGATCTGAAAGAGGACATTATTTTCCCCTGCAAGAGCACAATACAGGAAGAGATTGGATTCTCTTTCGGAGAGAAAATTGATCCTGTACTTTTAGAGGCAATAACATTAGCGCTTGAATGGGATAAGTGAAAGGTAATTTGAGGACAAAAAATTGGAATAAAGTGTAATTACAAAGAAATATTGAACAATCCAGACTGAAATGTTGCCTCATCAACGCAAGTGTTGCTTGTTTGAATAATCTGAGTTCGCGACAAATGAATACTTCAGCACTTTGTCATGATTAGGTCCCTGTCTTCTCTCGGGTGTGAGTCAGCATGGTAAAATGTAATGAATAAGACATAAAATATTGCCCACTGTGGGGACAGTCCTCTTCATACAACCTTATCTAACATGTCCTACAATATGCTAATTCATGGTACATATTTATAACGATCAAAGACGTGTCACTTTTCACAGCTGACACTGACTGTGTTCTGTAGCTTTGAATCATCTCTCATAACATATATGAAAAAAGAAAACGCAATTTCTGACTGAATATGACGCGGCGTCTTTTAACCTGATCAAACCACACAGTTATTACGGTTGCTGCCCAAGCCACGATATCCTCAGGTCTGAAATGTAAATTTCTCTTTTTCAAATGCAGAGATAAATGTTGATGAACGGAAAGAGGTGACGTTGAGAGGGAGTCTTTAAAGAGGAAAAATTAAGAAAAGCGTCTTTGCCTTTCAATTGTAAGAAAAGGACAGATGTGAAAGCTTTGTAGAGGCCAGCTGCGCGCAGCCTGGTGCCTTTAATCTTACGGGAGCTGGTCGGCAAAAGGGCCAGCGACCCACGAGGCAACAACCAGGCCATTTGTGGAGACCTCCTCACCACTTGAAGCTTAGACATTATCACGAAAAAGAAACACCGTTGGTACATTCGGTACTGACAAAAATCCCTGATTTCATGGCATGTAACCTTGGCTATAAAAGTAAATCTTCCACTGGTGATCTCCTTGATTGACAGAAATTGTGTTGGACTTTTGAAATGAATGAAAAGATACATGAACATTGACCAGTGGGCCGATAGGTTTGGTTCCTGTTTTTTTTTTTATGTGGATCTAGGCAACCAATCTATTATTCCTCGTGCCGACGTTAATTAAGTCTTTTCCAGAGGGCTGCGGCCTATGAACCCTAAGTGTTGGTGGAGGTGGAGGAGAACAGCGTGTAGGTGTGTGCGTGTGCAGTCGTAGGCACAATGACCTCCACTCAGTCCTGTGGTCCATAGAGAAGCGAGATGCACAGATTGAAGCAGAAAGCCAGAGCGCGACGGACACAGAAACAGAAACAAAAGCAGTGCTGTAACCGAACACAGAGCTCTCGCTTGGGGAATGTTAGAGGGGGAGTAAAATGGGGGGAGGGAGTGATTAAAAACCCAGCCTCTCATTCTTATTTATTTTTCAGCTTGGCTCGGAAACAGTGAAGCTTTTATTGCACACGCGTTATTGAAAAAAAAAGAATTCACGCATGTGGTCCCGTGCATAATAATACAAAGCATGCTAAATGCTAATAACTGTGACTCAGACTGCACTGAGCGCCCTCGCACGCCCTCACATACCAGGTTCTATCCAGCGCCCCAGAGCCGTTCCGCTTCCACCATTGTGTTTCTTCCCGTGGCTCTCCAGATAGTGACAGCACGTCCTCTGGGTAAAGGGAGTGATCGGGTGGATTCTTGTGGAGTTCTAGCCCAGGGAGACGGATGGATCGACGGATTCCCAAGCGTCAACACTGGAGCTCTAATTTTCTCTTTTTGTCACCTTCCTTGCGATATGAATAATTGCCATTATTCCTTTATCTTAATCTTCATTTTATAAGGAATATTTCCCTTTGAGGGTCAGAATCTTCCATCTGGAGGCAGCCTTGGCTAAGACGGAAACATAAAAAGTGTCACAAAAGAATAAGGCCATCAGTTTTCCCACCATTGGGTTCTGTGAGACTGCTCTTTTGACCTCATTCTCTCTCACCATAATTACGCTGTGAGAGGCCGTTGTCCGGTTGCCAGGGCTGCGCAGCCTTTGAAATCAGACGCGCAGAAACTCTGGTTTCGGTGGAGGCTGGCTGTTCAAACAAACTCCATTGACTATTGCGAGAAAGAGTTGTCCAGAAATACGTATTTATTTATCCAGCAGCCGAGAGAAGAAAAGTGTGAGACAATCTCTCTTATTCAAAGCCTCCTCTCTCAAGTTGAAGTTGTGTACAGTATGTCCTCTTTATTTATTGCACTTACAACAAGTGAACAGCTATTAAATAAAAACCCAAAGTGATTACCGTCAGTTCTGCCTTGGTCCGCGCTCATCCCCGAATCCGTCACTGTGGTCTTTTTTCTTTCCCAGAATGCTGTGGTGTCCTTCAAGGAGCTCTGTGGCCTGACCCCGGCGGCCAACATGAAGCAGTGCATCCTGACCGTGTCCACCTGGCTGATGAACAGCGAGCGCTCACTGAGGGTAACGGTGGACCTGAGCGAGACTTACCCCACCATGGAAGCTCAGGGTCCCATGCCGGAGCTGCTGCGCAAGGTGTTCAACGCCTATGACACGGTAACAACCCTAAACGCACGCACGCACGCCAGAGAGGCAAACACTGAATATTGCATGACACAATTTTGTACACACTTCTTTTTATCTTTTTTTTACCGTTCACGTAAAAGCTTATTTACAGTGTTCAATCTCTCTCCACACGTGTACTTCAGCTAAAGATAAAATGTCAAAGCACTCAGGCGTTTGCGATAATGTCACTGCTCCGCGCGGATATCCGGCAGTGCCAGCGCTTGCGAAAGATAAAACAGAACAATAACCAGAGAGGAGTAGTGGCCGGCTGCTTCCCTCAATGCTAGTTTGCATGTCATGTGATTCCAGCATCCACACAGCTGGATGTGTGTCGGGGCCTCGGTAACACGGCTAAAAACAGATTGGCGAGCCGCGGGTGCTCATCGTTTTAATTTCACCTGCCCCTGTCCATCCCGCCTCGTCTCCCATGAGAAGATTGCATTTTTCACCACTCAATATTGACACGGCCCCCAGGGGTAAGCAGGGGGGGGGGGTGGGCGCTGGCTGGGTGGGGGATGCTGGAGGAGTCTGTCTGTAATTAGTTATGCCGCCCGCTGCCCTCTTCCCTCCCGCGAGGCTTTGGTGGGAGCTGGTGAAGTGGGTCATGAGCGAGAGAACGAGGTTGTCGCGCCCACGTCCTCCTTGGAGAATCTTTCCAGAACCTCTCCACCTTCTAAGGATCCTTGCAAAGCAGAACCCCCCACGGCTTACACAGGCATGGATGGGGCGATATCGAGATGATAGGAAAAACACTCATGTCAGAAATAACAAATACTCAGACAATGTTTCTACTTTTGCTATTTATTCATCCCATATTTATGTAGAAGGACTACAAAGCTGTAGGTACCTTCATCTATGGTCCTATCCTGACGCTTGGTCCGAGTGTTTGTGTTTGATTCCCGTTGGCCCGTTGCCACACTGCCTCAAGAGCGAAGGGTCTAATGTGTTTACTGAATGTTTGTGTGTGTGAGTGTGTAAATGCATGTGACTTCACGGCTGCCAAAACCCCGGCTGGAGGACATCTGTGTGCAGTCCACGTCCTCAGTCACCCTCGTGTGGGCTGCTGCCGGCCGGCATTGTAACCCTCATACACGCCCGTCTCCGCGTTTAGCCACACGTCGCTGTCATTGACTGCACTCACCATTAAGAAGAAACAAGCCGCCTGGATGCAACGTGAACATTGACATTGGGCAGAAATAGCCTTTCGTGAAAGAAAGATTGTCTCACTGAGAGCTTCTTTCGTTTTTTTACTCACCATTTTGTGCACCAATTCTCAGCCGTCACACAGAAAGGCATGCCAGCGATTTTCGATTGTTTTTCCTACAGTTTATTTTCTTAATCCGTCCCCCGAATGAAGGGACTTTTATGAAATGAGCTCATTTTACAAAACAGCTTTCCCTCATACCAGTTCTAAGGAGGGTAGCTTAACAAGGAGAGGCGTGCACACAGGGTAAGAGAGTGCACATCCTGTCTCCCCGCTGACGAGGAGTGTGAAACTTCATTAGCTTCCTCCTCGATGCTGCAGGCCTGGTCCAGCTGCTCCTCCTCAGCCTTCAGGATGATGTTTATGGCCCAAACTAGCGTTAGTCAGAGGAAAACATAGAGGTGATAATAAGCAATTTCGTCTCTGCCGCTGTTATGGTGGCATTGTGGTGCCAATACATGTGGGATTTGGGTGCAGACATTCAGAGGCAGAATCAGCTATTTGTGCCTAATATGTTGACCGCTATTGCATAAGGCTGAATGTACTTTTCTTTTGATGGACTTACAAATCAATTGATTGATTCCGTTGTAAAAGGTAAAGCCAAACAACTGTCACTGTAATATACCTTCCTATACTTCATTAAATATAAGAAAGTATACTTTCAGTGTTTGTCTGTGGTCCCGCTCAAAGCTTTTTTAGGTTTGCCCCCAGTACGATACTGAGATGTTATGCTAATTAAATGCACGTTTTCTTTGTCTTCCAGATGATCCAAACCAGCAGGACGCTGATCGAGTCGGCGGACGTCGTCTATTACAAGCTCACGCAGGCACAACGAGCAGGTGCGGTGCATTATGGGACAGAGTCAACATTCCACATTGTCCTCTGCATCTTCTGAAGTGCAGAGCATGTTCAGCACAGCTGGATGCGTAATTCAAGCTGATATTAGACTAAAAATGAATGTATTTTCCCTTGCATGGTTCTTTAATTTGAATAAGAAAAACACGGCATGAAACGAGATACATTCATTCGAGGAGACGACGCTTCCAGCTGCCCCGCGTACTCGGCCTCTGCAACTTTCAAACCTTTTCTGTGTCTTGTCCTCCCGCGGGACGAAATGAGCATCGAGCGTCCGCCCGCTGCGGCGTCTCCACCGACGTGGACAGCAGTGGCGGCTGTCGATGGAACAGGCCATCCTCATTGAGTCAGCACCGAGCAGTTCTCATGTCAGTGGGCAGGTGAGAGCAGCCGCACAAACAGAAGGCTCCAGCAGAAAGAGGACGGAGAGCATAAACATCGGTTGAGAGAACGAAATATAGGATGGTGTTTTGTTGCTGAAAAGAGTGCTCTGTGTAAAGTGCCCGGTCTTTTTAGAGGTTAAGACAAAATTCAGCCTAATGAGATCGTTAGGAGAGAATCTGCTTCCGATCGAGAATGCCTGTGGCTTTGTCTACTCCAGCCTCTCTTTCATTCAACGGTAATTGTTCCTCATTTGCTTTGCTTCTCTGCTGCGCAGCAGCGTCTCCGCCGAAGAGCCCCTCAAATGGAGCACGCAGTTTGAATACCGGCATCTTGATTTTGCATGTTTATGCCTTACATTCTTTCTGTGGGCAACCAAAGACGACTGAGACCAACGTGAAAACCTGCCGATTCAGGCGTGTTATCGTTTTGTGATGGCTGGCGTCAACACGTGAAGAGCTATTTGTCATGTGTGTGTTAAATGCTAACTCACTGGCTCGCGCCAACCCAATATCCGATAAGCCAATTCAAGCCAGCTACGCCCAGCATTACTCCCTGGTGTCACACAGAGGCAGGCATATGCTTCACTCACCCCCACCCTCTCAAGAGAAAATTACAATAACAGCCCAACTAAATAGGAGAGATGGCTCAATCAAGATAAATTAAGGTCAATACATTTTCTAATGACTCAAAATGTGCTCTACCAAACTGTGGAGCACGATTTAAAGGGTTGAAACCCCACAGAGCCACAAGCAGGCTGAGTAGAAATGGACCTACTGTAAGAAATTCATCCTTGTGTTTTTTGCTTTGCAAGTAAGTAATATATATATATATATATATATATATATATATATTTTTGTATGGTCTTCATAAACCCAGAGGTTGAAGCATTCTTCTCAACCAGCATCTAATCCCTACAAGCGAAAACATGGAAACTCTTCAATTTGGAGTTTGGGATGACGCAAGAACAATACGATGAGGCAGAGGGTCGGAGTGACGGGCCCGAGGGGCCTCAGCTGCTCGCCAAACGTAGCACTTTCCCCTATCGCCCACTCCCCGGCCCCCGGCGCTAACACGCGCGTGGTTGTAGTTTTGATGCGTGAGGCTGAAGGATGAATTGAATGCACAAACAGCAGCTCTTTGTCTCACATGCTCATACAAAAAAGTAACGTACTAGCCTCAAAACAAAACTGGGTTTACAATTGTAAACTTTTACTTAAATTGAAGCCTTGTTGGCCGAAAGGAATGTAAAGTAATGTTGGTCAAAATCGAGTGCCGCATAATATATTGTACATACAAAATCAAAGTGGCAAATATAAACTATAATAAAGATTTTAAAGGTACTCAATTGGGAAGTGAAGAAGCTTCGGAATGATTAATTCTTTATTCTGCTTCAATAACGTCCCCCCCCTTAATAGAGTAATACAATTTCAGATATTATTGCGGTGACTTCTGTCCCGCTCCTCCTCTCTGCCTGCTCTATGTCCCCTCCATCTGTCTCCTGTCTCATCAGGTCACCGTCGTTTGTGCGTGATGCGACTTTTGGATGCAAATATGGCGAATTCTTTCATAATTGTCCCTCTAGTTCGAAGTCTAGCTCAAACTGTATGGTTTAGTGCAAATGGAAAATAAAATGCATCTCTATAGCAAAATGATTACTGTAGCATTAGCTTAAAAAGTGTGTGTGTGTTCAGTGTCAAACCGCTTTAAAGTGTCCTCTAAAAAGACCTTCATGATGCTGAATATGTGACAAATTGAGAGGGTGGAGCTACTTTATTCTAATCTTACAATCAGTGGATCTAATGAAAAGCTACGCAGACCCACCTGTCTCCAAGCGCAAATTCAACAACAAGAACACTCCCTTAATGGACGTTCTGTTCTGTCCTCTATGATGTGTTTAGCGCGTGACTCGGTTCATTATAAGCTTTTTATATCCCCGAGAGAGCAGAAAAACCTTTGGATGCACGCATGAATCCCAAACAAAATGCTTCTTTTGATGGACTGACAAGCACTGAATGCACCCTTCAGCAGCCATCTCATAAGCCATATGATTATGTAAAGACTGAGCACGACAAAAGCAACGGCGTTAGAACAGAGAATCAGAGGGTGGAGGCATACGAAGTCTACAAATGATGGATTTGCATGGAATCGAAAGGTTTTGTACTTTTGATCGATAATTTTGGTGTTTTGGCTGTGTGGGTAGTGGAAAAATAGGACAGTCTGGGAACATTACAGAAATAATTTGGGATGGATTACGGTGTGTGCGTGCTTGCGCTGCACCTAAAATTAATAAAAGGCTTTTGATTGGACCTGAAAGGTTTGCCCTCCAACCATTAACGGTGTGCTCAGCTCATCAGCAAATCGCTGTTGTGACAAAGCCCCAATCACAGTGAGGCTGCAGTCTGCAAGCGAGCGACCTGACTCAACCTTTTACCTCCCGAACTGCCTTTCGTTTTAAACTAAAGCAACGTAGAACGGGCGTCTGGGTTTTGGGTTACTCTGGCTCTTGTTTCCCCGCTCCGTCTCCTCCTCTTTCCTTCCTGTGCACAGCTTGGCCTTCACTATTGCCGATAATCAGTTTAATTAGGGCCGCGAAGCTGACGTGTTGATGAGCATGGAGAGGTGCTGGATGATTTCCCCCCCCCCCCGGGGCTCTATTGAAGGCTCGCCATCTCACACACCCCGCTAATGGGGTACCGGATACACAGCTGGGACGCTCACTCTGGCACATCCACCAGTGTGTTTGTGTCCACTGTGCTCATGCGTCCGCACGCATGTCCAATCTGGAGACAAGAGCTCTCACCCCTCTGCTCCCATCCTCCCAACCGAAGGGGGTATTTGTCAAGAGTTTCAGCTTTCTCTCGGACGTCACGATGGATGAGTACAGACATCCTTTAACGTGGGTGAACAGCGCCGCTCCGGTCTGCAGGGCGAGTGCGCAGCGCTCTGAGAGGAGAGACACATTGTCCTGCTGTATACTGACCTGCAGCGAGAGCACACAGGGAGCAAGACGTGGGAATATTTTATACAAAATAATGAGTTTAATTTGAGGCCCAGTTGAAGATTATTATGCCTTTATAGGAGTCACGTCTAACTCGACATATGTCAATGAGCATAGCGCTGCGTGCGGTCTTGAACACGTGCAAACTCGCTGTGTGAGTTTGGAAGCTGCTGGATTCCTGCAAACCTGACCGGGCTGATTTATTGACCGCTGGGATATTGCTGGTATTGTTTGACTCCATGAAGACTCCAAAACCACGGAAATCCAAAATATAAAGACATTTATCCTTCCTGGCCTTGTACTGCTTTACTTACTAAAATAAAACAGGCTTCTGCAGTTTGTAAAACAGTTAGGAAAATATGATCCGACTGTATTTATCTCCTTCTGACCCCCTTTCCCATCATTGTTGTCATCATTGTGTTTCATTTTATTATTTCTGCCTGTAGCCGTCTCCCATTTCTGTGCGTGTGTATTTGGAGCGCGAGGGGTCCACGTGTCCACTCAGAGAAGACGTCTTGTCGTCCCCTCGGTCCTCCTGTCTGTCTAAGTAACGATTTCTCTCAGTCCTGCTCTTTCCGGTAGAGAAGCCAAGCACAAGATCCCGTCTCGTCAAGAGTGTTCCATGGGGCCACGTTTTGTTTATTACTGCTGGTTTAAGTGACAGTAAGGAACAGCAACAGTTTGACTGTCGGGGACGGGAAATGCTTAATAATAGGGAAATGAAATGCTTGAAGAGGTTGTATTGCAGCGAGCTGCCTTCGAGCTAATTTCATCTCTCATTTAGCTCCCTGTCTGCTTTTCTCCCCAAGTCCCGCGATCTCCTTGCGGCCCATTTACTCCACCAGATTAGGAGATCAAATCAGCCCTAAATCCTGTTAACACAACGTTTAGGCCGTCAAAGAGATATTCTACAAGGCTCTACATCATAACTAATGTGGAAATTAAAGATCAACAGGGGTCCTGGACCTTGTTGCGTAATGTCTGGTGTGCACTGAAGGCTAGAGATGATGTTTTCTGTGTTCACTGCTTGACCTCTTCATCTGTTTTAGTGTGTGGCCGATTCTTTTCCAAAGTCCGGTTATCGTGAGCGTTAAACAAACTCTAAAAGTCCAGTTGCTGGAGTGACACTTGCTGGAGATGTGAAGAGAGGCACATAGTAGCTCGAGTTCAAAGTTAGTTGTGACTTAATGAACAGTATTTTTTAATAAAAATTGAGGTTTGTCAAACAAGGATTTGTTGTCTCTTTTAGCGGTTTAAATTTTCTCTACGACGACCTTTCCTTGGTGCTGTTGAATCCCATGAGGGAGGTTATACATAGTATGACTACTCATAACTAAATAGTGTACTTTGTGTTGTTTTTTTCATGCCCTCGCATATTATTTCTTATATCTTTTTTCAAGCATTTTGTGATTTTCTCCTGGGGCGAGTGCAATATAAATACATTTGTACTGACTTTACTCATCAGAGAACTGAAGACTCTGAAGATAATAGCGTACTGTGTGTCTTCAATGTCTTGTCGGTGAATCCAAGCTGTAGTGGCATAAGGCCGGTGGCTGAGACACAAAGCTTTGGGAGGAGTTTATTCTTACAGCCATGAGGATTAGCCGTGGTCTGTGTGGGCTTAAAGAAGCCCGGACCTACTGATAGACTAATTAGAGGTTAGCAGGCCTCGTGCCACCTAAATTTACCCCCGTTACGAAGGCAGCACTGGTGAGCTGCTATTCAAGCCACTGAGATGCAGACTTTGGGTTGCGCACGCTGCAATACAGGCAAAACAGCAGCCAAAAGAAGTAACTTCTGTTTTTACATCTAAGAAGTTTATATTCTATTAGTCTAGACACCGGCCACCCATGTTGAAGTTATGCACCGTGTATAACACACATGCACACGGTCAAACATCCACATAGACACACAAATACAGAGTGCACACATTCAGCTTCTGGGCAATATAAATGAACCAGAAAGAACAACACCGCACGTCAGGATTGGCCTATCCAAGGCTTTAAATACTGACATGTCCCGCCCCAATTTCATCTGATCCTCCCCGTTGTACAAGACTGAGTCCTTTTTACTTGCTCTTACTCAACTCCGCTTGTCTGGCCATCTTGTTTTCATTCAGTGCATATAGTGATTTCATTATACAAACGGAGGAGGAAAATACCCATAGGGTGTCTTGAAGGTCTTCATGTTCTCCTTATAACACACGTATTGCCAAAAAGGGTATTTTGCTGGCACTGAAGAGGCCTCTCCAGTCCCAGTCGGAATTTCGGTCCCATATACAAACATCGTATAAAATACAACAGCAGCTGTCAACAACTCTCAATAGGACAACTTCTCTAACTACTTTTAAGTGAAGTTATGGTTCGGACTTCTGTGGTCGCTGACTTTAGCTTTTCATACAAATACTTCAAGACTAAAACGTAATTTTTGCATTGCAGTTCTATTGTGGATGTTAATCTTTATTTTATATCTTCACATGACACGAGGTGTGTATCTATGTCTGTGTGCAGGTCTGGACTTCCATGAGGACCTGCATCGCATCGGGGCAAAGGAAGGTCTGAAAGGCCGCAAACTTCAGAAGGCCATGGAGAGCTACGCATGGAACATCACTGTCCTCAAGGTGAGATGCACAACAAATACCTTGATAATTGTACCACATATACTTTGACTCAGTTTGAGTCAAACCATGTAACGGATAATAACTTTGATTGATGTCGACATGTGACATTAATTTGTAGATCATAATCAGCAGGATAAGCAATCCAAGATTCTGTTGCTGAGAATAAACTACATGGTGTTTTAAGAAGCCCTGTGGGCTAATTGTGTTTTCCTTCCTCTCTAATCCCTTCTAATCTCTTGATTAATTACTGTTGATTCAGGAACGGCGGTCTTATTTATTCCTTCAACTATTTTGACGGGACATGATAGGGTTGTTCTCACGCTTTTTTGTGGACACATGCACACTCTGCACACACTATCGCTCCTCCTCGTACAGTAAGGGTGCGTTGGCTCGCTTGGAACACGCCTTTCAGATGACGCTCGGCGAAATGCGTTCCTGCCTCCGCCTGTGGTGCGGCGAGATAAGGTTTGCCTACCCCCATCATCTCATCGCTTCTATGAGGCTGCGATTGTTACACCAGCACTGATATAACACCCCATGCCGCTCTGCACGGTGGGCCTGCTGCGCTAAGCAAGGACAAGAGCAGCCAAGATATTTTTATCTCATCTCATCGCTCTGAAATCATTTAGTATTGAGTGAAGCTCCCTTGGCTGAGCTTCTTGCTCGAGTGTCAGGTTAGGTCGATGTTTGATTGCGGGCTTCTTCTTCGCCTGCCTTCTCAGATGGGAGGATAGTAAATTCTAGGGTTGTGGCTAACTGTTAGTTTAATTAACAATAAATTGTTTATCAATTAACAGATTCATAGTTGTGTGACAGCTTTAGATTTGTTTGTTTTGTCTAAAAAACATTCTCAATAAATGTATTTAATCAACTAATCATAAAAGACTGCTAGATTTTGAATCATTGGTTAGAAAACGAAGCATTTTAACACAAGTGAAGTTAATGGTCAATCACTGCTACAGTAAATTTATTTGTGTTTTTTTTCACGCATTAATCTGCAAACGGAAAAATCTATCTTAATTAAGCTTTGTGGCACTCATGTGTGCTTAAATAGCGTAACAGGTTGACAGGCAAACATAATCCATCCATCAACCCTTAACTCCTCCCATCTCTGCCTCGTTTCTCCAAACACTCACTTCCCTCTGTCACCCCCCCTCTCCCTCCCTCCGAGTCCTCTGATTTCTTCCAAGATGTGAGGGCATCTTGGCGTGCACACGTACCCCTCCTCCTCCTATTGGACACTTGTGAGCTTTGTCTCAAACTGAACATTTGGTGAGGCCCGGTGCATGTTTGCCGTGGCTGGCAGACACGTGCCGTTGTTTCGCTTGTCATCGTCTCAAGATCCCCAGCAGCAACGGCAATTTCGGTATGAAAATTTTAGCGGGGCCACAGAATATTTGAGCATGAAAATTTAATGATGCAATCCAAACATACCATACATATTTTACATTGAATCACACTCTCTGCATGCGTGCAAAGGAGAGTGGGGGGTTGCGAATTGCTTGACCGAACATATCACACAGGAGCACCGACAGACAAACATAAGGATCTCTCAACCATTAAATGGCCTCCTTGCAACACGCAGCCAAAGGTGCACTTGTCATATGTTGAGCAGCCTCATCCTAAACATTGTACGTGCAATCAAAAGCTTTTTTTGAATAACAGTTGAATTTCCTTAAAATAGTGTTGATCATGGTAAAAAAAAGGTTCCTTTACTCATACAGAGGTCAAACATGCCGGCAAATTTGTCATATCCACTTATGGCAATTTAGCACTTTCTGAAGTATACAAATTGAAGGTTTGACCTTGTTCTTTTCTGAATTAAGAGCAAAAGCCTGTAACTTGTCCTGTGCAACAGAGCCCTCTGGTGGGGCCGAGCCCGACGGGCCCCGAATGCAAACGCACCGATGCTCAGCAGACCTGCGAGCCGGCAAATGGAGAGGAAAGGGTTGTGTAGTCTCTCGGTTTTTCTTAAGCTGTCTCTTGGACCTGACTTTGATTGTCAGATCAGAGCTGCCATGGTGAATTAGCCTTTGCTTAAGACCACCCTGTCACTCTTCTTACCCCGCTGCCACAAGGAATGCAAAGCCGGAGAGACATAAAGAGAGGCTCGTTGAAGTTCCTTTTCGTGGACGAATAGCGGGCTCACAGACACATTTGGATTCTTATTGCCTGCCAAGTCACTCACTGCATTTTGTACTTTCATTGACTGTTGTTTGTGGTATTTTATGACATCACTAATCAAGCCCCTGCTAAAGCAGCTCTCCCATCAAAATCTCCGTTCCCTTTTTTTTCTTGGCAGAACCCGTTTTAAATGGTTAACTGCAGATTCGTTTTGTTCCACAGATGATGGTTGAAGTGGTGGAGATGAGAGGAGATGCTCTCAGTCCTGCTTGTGCTCTGCTGTCACAAACCACTCTCCAGCTGGGTCAACAACCTCAACATAATATAATAATAATACATTGTATTTGTATAGCGCTTTAAAAGGCACTTTAACTGGTAAAAAAAACCCCTGAAACAACAGCTAACGTTAGCGGCAATAGCTGCATAAAAAGGGCAAAGTGATGACATAATAACAGTAAAGAAATATATATATATATATATATATATATATATATATATATATATATATATAAAATATAAATAGCATCAGAGGATGCTATGTATAAATCTGATAAGTTCTAGTTGAGTTTTGTGTGGCGAGGGGCAGTAGGAGGCTGTAGGAGGGAGCGATCCAGAGGGAGGGGGCAGCCATGGAGATCACAGGCTGCTTATTGGGTGTCCAATTTCCGTCAAGTGGATGGAATGATTTTGATAAGCCAGTAGGAGATTAGGGAACAATTTAATGAGGATATAGGGGTGAGATTTGGGGGCTGTCTCCCCCTCCCCGGCCCGCCGGGAATAGCTTCAGAACAGCTGGTGATGGTGCCCAAATACGGGTGCCGTCGTGATTTGGCTCCGGCAGCACAGAGCCGGCTTCTTGCTGGCATATTCTATGCCTGGTGAGTCATGACTTACATAATTTCTGGGATTTTTTTTTTCTTCTTTTCTCCAAACATATGATTTATTCATGCTCGTGTTTCGCCTGCTGAGGTGGCTCAGGTAAAAGTCCACTTGCAGCACATTAACATCACCTGGGAGTAAAGGTTCTTGTCAACTCGACACTGAAAGAGACGGGGACGCGTCAAGCATTTAATTACTCCAGTTGTGGAGGTGGTTCTTAAAAAAAGCATGTGGTCAGATTTCAAATATGTTATGGCCCATTCTACGAGCACCTCTCCTTCACAGACGTAACCGCCCGTGGAAAATACTTAAACCATATTTCCACATGTCACAGATGGCTAACTTAAGGTGGCGGGTTGCCACGGCAGCATCCTCAGAATGACTTGTTGCTGTAAAGTGGGACGCCTGCCCTGACCACTTTTCATTCATCCCTGGGGTGCTCTCAAATTAATAGCCAAGATTTAGTACATCATTATCACCTTATGCCACCACCATTAACCCGCTGGGAGGAGCAGTTGCACACTGTTTATGGTGGCTGCATACTGCCCCCTTCTGCTGTTTCTAAGGTGGTGCACCAAGGAAGAGTGTTCCTATACAACTTTTTTCTCATTCTACTCCCTTATTTAATTGAATTTAAATATAAATTAAAATCTATTTTTCAAAGGCAGACCAGAAAAGGTCACACAGATTCAGATGATTCAGTCGTACTCAGATAGACTGGAAGATAAACCAGCCCTGAGGGAAAGGATATCAGAAGATGCTCCCTGCTATTTTTGTCACCGCGCGTAGTTAACAAAGCCACCTCTGTTTCTCTGTCTCTCTCCGTCTCTCTCTGTCTCTCTCTGTCTCAGGGCCAGGCCGACCTGCTGAAGCACGCTAAGAGTGAGGCGCTGGACACGCTGCGTCAGATCCACTGTGCAGCTCAGTCCTGTGGCCTCAGTAAGAACGGCGCATCCTCCCCACAGCTCCAGCACCATCCTCCTCACCAAGTCCAGATGCAGCAGCAGCCTCAGGCCGAAACGCACCCGCAGCCTCCCGCACCGCACCTGCCCCAAACGCAGGCAGCACCTCAGGCGTATCACCACCCGCTCGCCCAGCAACATCCCCAGCCACCAGTTCCGCTCCCTCCGGTTCAAACTGTTTCCAAACCCCCGGCCTACACTCAACCCCCGGCCCTGACCCAGCTCCAGTTTCAGTTCCAGAGCCAGCAGCAGAGGGCAGCAGGACCTCTGGACGCCAACCCCGCCAAGGGGACGGTCAGCGACGGCGCTGCTGGATCCTGCTGACCTGCAGCCTGTGCCCACGGAGGATCCTACCCAAAGAGAGACGGAGAGATGGAGACGGAGATGGACAAGCAGAAGACCGGAGGGGAAAAGCGGGAGGCCAGTAACGCGAGCGAATTAGAGGAGTTGGCCGAGAGGGTTAAAGAGACGGCGGTGATAAGGAAGACCCGTCGCGTCAGAAGCGAGACACGAGTCTGAGGCGACGCTCGAGTTGACGGGAGGAGAAGAGAGACGGAGAGGCCGTGAACTTCCATCAAGCTAAACGTGAATTTAAATGTTCCAACGCGGGATGGAAGCTGGAAAGGCAATGTTTACTTGTCTCTGTCGTGCATTTTGAAGGGAATATTACATCTGAGCCAGGGAGTTTGGGTCTCTTCTGTCTTCTCTCTTGGGAAAAGCTAAAAGGGTGACAGCTGGTAGCAAACTCGCGACGGTTTACTCGGCGTAGGAATCTGTTAAGCAGTTGGATCAGTTAGATATCCCTGTCTCTCTCTGGGAAGTGCGAGTCACATCCCCCTCCATTGTGTACACTAGCTCTGTGGGTACAGGCTTTACCTCACGTTGGCATTTTCTGCCACAAATTTGCCTTTTTTATTTCCAGAACCCTCTGCATGTCTCTGACCTTTTATTCCTTCACGTTCGCACTCTTCATTCTTAGACATGAAGCTAGACGCACGCCCTCACTCCTTTTGGACGGAGAGGATTTTAATTAGAGCAGCTCGACGAGGCTGAGCTCTGCAGCCGTCGTACGTGTTCTTAATTCAGCACAAACCAGGAAGCTTTAGAGCCAAAATAGAAAATCTAACCGCAGCTTCGGCTGTGTTCAGTCACATTCATGCTCTTGTTTCAACGCTTGCTGGGGGCCGACCTCCATTCAGCCCCACACGTCTCCAGTGTCATTCCAGAGGATTTAAGTTCTTCAGTATCCATTGACCCTCTCCACAGGGTCTCCTTACCCCCCCCCAACCCCTCTCAGGGGGCTGTGTGTGTGTGTGTGTGTGTGTGTGTGTGACGTTACGTGAATCTGTGTTTTGGTCCCCCGGGAGGAGCTGACCCCGTGCCGGATGTTGGCGGAATTAGCCGACCAATCGGAACTGGAATGTTTGACCCTGCCCGTTGAGAGGTTCAAAGGTCATGGTACTGCTGTGAATAAACACAAGTTAAAGTGAATATAGATGTAAAGTGTATGTAAAATGTACGAAAGGAACATATATTGATATAATAGTTCTCCAGACAGATTCATGATTGATATTACAGTAATTGTCGTTAGTTCTATTGATATTCTGATTATTTTTTTTAGCATTACTTCCACATATACAGTGATTTGACACCTGTTGGATCAGGAGAACCAGTGCATGTGGGAGCGGAACAAGGGATTACTGACAAGCGGCACAACCCGAGGGTCAATCAATCACCCATCATGTGTTTCACTGCAAAGTGAGTGTGGCTTCTTGTAAGAGCTCCTTTAAGTGGCCCATTAAAACTGGCTTCATTGTTTATCCCGTCTCCTCTTGTTCATTTCTGTCACATGAAAATGTGATTTATATTCCTGTACTGCGTCATGTGGCCTGGGCTTCAGTAATGAACCACTCTGTGGCTGCACTGATACCTCAATGAAAGGACCGAGTATTCTCGCTGACATCAGAAGCGCTTTAGAGCATTTTCAAATCCGCTTTCACGGTTTATCCAAAGCGATCAATAACACTTTTGGAAGGCGTTATTGATCGATTGCTGCGCTCTTAACTCTCCTATTGTAAAAATCGTATCTTCACAATAAACAAAAAGGAAGCAGTTTATTTCATCACGTATTTGTTTTGTCTATTGAAAGCAATGCTTCCTGTTGTCCATAAGATGGCAACAGATATTAAGTGAGTGGGGCTGTGAGGATGAAAACAAACTGATATTCGATCATTTCTGTCCATCGATTGTGTTTGATTTCGTCCTGTCACGTTTACTTATGAGCGCGTCGGTATTCTAGCGCCTGTAAAGCATCATTTGGAGGTGCTGTCGGAAATGATCATCGACTGTTCCCCCCACTAGTGATACTTCAGTGAAGGAGCAAGCCAAAACTCCACCTTCATGTGTGAGTATGGCACCTTTTGTTCGAGAGAATAAAGCCCATAGAACCTAATTAGCATGCCTTTTGAATGAGTCATTAGCATTGAGAAAGGCCGTCTGGGATTTTTCTATGTTTATATTTTAGATCTTGTAGGACACATTAGCTAATTGACCTCCGTCCCAAACTCGTAGTCATTATTATATGTTTTCATAAACCCTCGGTATGTGGCCACATAGAAATGCCTGTAGTTCATGAAAAGTCCAGAGTAGCGCCGTGGAGACGACCTGCCACAACAGACTAATTAATTGTGGTTGGACAAATGACGTCCATCGATGTGGGCACCACAAAGCAATATAAGAGACTATTCTTCCCCCGGGGGAGATCAGATGACTCCGTCCCACAGCAGCCAGAAGATGCCGTGGTTCCCCATCAACTTGCACAAAGCCTCCGGGATGGACACCTCTAACAGGGTAATACGCCTACTCCTTTTTATCTAAAGATTACTATGGGATTTGTTTGACATCATTAATCCACAATATTTAAAGTTGCAGATCAGAGATTGAGCTTTTGTTCTTTCTTCTTGCCATTTGTTTTCATATCAAGATTTAAGCAGCTGAGAAAGTGGCTCCTCTTCGGCAAAAGATTTATTTCTATGTTGAGTGATCAGGCGTGTAGTCATGTAGTTAGATCTATCATTTCACTTATTTCATTATGATTTGTGTGTTCATTTCTTGTGTGTGCTTTGAATCATGTCTGGACATAACTCATTTTCTTTTTGCCCAGCAGAAGTTCCTGGCACTGGCCTTGATGCTGCTGCTGTCGCACGTGGCCTGTGAAGCTCACAGCCTGTCTCAATGCTGCAGACAACCGGCCCGCTCCTGCCGCTTGTCCGTGATTCTGTGTCGCTCTGGCAGCAAAAACTTTGGTGGCGAGCTTCCAGGTGACGACGCCGCCGGCATCCTCACTCTGGGCAAACGGAACGAAGAGGAGCACAACCTGCAGAGCCGACTCAACCAGCTCCTCCAGGGCTCCCGGAGTCAGGCGGCCGGGATCCTGACTATGGGCAAGAGGATTGCCGAGCGGGCCGGGGAGCAGTACATGGCCTGGTTGGCCCAGTCGGGATGGACCATCACAACGCCGCTCCCTGATTTAAGCTAAATGATATAAGTAGCCTATGGGACTCTGTTCAATTCCAGGTAGAAAAATCCCACCTATTTTGGGAGTGTCATTACACCACAGGTATATTTTCTGCTTATGTCAAATCTTGTGATTTTCTTTGAACTGCACCTTTTCGTATGTGATGTGAGCGCACCGGGTTATTGGATAACGCTAGGAAGATGTGTAAAATTGTACGCATATGGAAAGATGGCTGTCGGGTGTAATAAAAAAAGCTGACACTGTGTCTTTAAAGAAAAAGTGCTTCTATTCAGCAATCTGCATTATTGATTTGTGTTATGTTGCATTAACTGTTTTGTGTGTGTGTTTGTATGTGTGTGTTTGTGTGATTATATATATATATATATATATATATATATATATATATTATATATATATATATATATTATATATATATATATACACGTACGTATATAACCCCTCGCACTGAATCAAAGCCTGGCATCTCAGCTCAATTTGAGTCTTTTTTGATTCAGTACAGCTTGCACATGTGAGCCCATTATTCCCAGTGTACACAAGATGGTGCTGATAAGATAAAAAGTGAGAGGGGTATTGCTACAGATCGGAAGCCTAGTGCATGCTCTATCAAGATAAAATAGTTCTCCCATTACTGCTGTTTGCCCTGGATGCTTCTCTTTGGCACAAATATATACAGCACAATTGTGTCTACTAATTTTCAACAGCTGAATTTTTCAGCCTCACATGCATGTCCAACACTGCACCTTTCAATGCAGAAACATTGCACAACAAATATCATCATTCACACTGCAGGTATTCCTCAAAAAGCTTGTTTTCCACTCGCCCTCTCTCCATGAAACTATTGATAGATATAGTTTTTATCCAATCCAATACTTCCCACAAGAAAAATGTCGCCTCTTTTTTAAAATCTGCCTTTAAATTTGAAAATATTGGATATAATCTAACGTGAATTCTTTTCACCTTTTGCCTTTTTGCTGAGTTGAGGTCCTTTGTCGTCAGATGCAGAAAGACTATTTCTTCTACACCTTTTTGACATTATAGAAAATGATGTACAAGCTGCTGAATAAATGTTCTTGAACTCAGTTCGGTGTGCAGTAAAATATGAGGTTATTGCTTAATGACTTAATCGTTACTCTTTGGCTAATCTCTACACACATATAGGATACAATATGAACACATTCAAGAGTACTGCTCCTCAGAAACAGTTAAACGCATGATCTTCCGATGACAGCTTTTAAAATGAGACAGAAGAGACTTGAATAGCCTATGCATTAATGAAATGTCAGGTCCTGGCGGGTGTGTGATTGTGCGAAACAGCGTTACACTCCACAGGAAAGCTGGAGGACAGCAGTAATTAGTATGATACAAAGAACCAGCGCATATCATTTTGAAATGCCATCCCGCGTGTCTGTGTGTGTGTTTGTGTGTACTTGTGGGCTTATACTCTGTGTATTCCATGCGACTGTGTGTGTGTGTGTGTGTGTGTGTGTGTGTGTGTGTGTGTGTGTGTGTGTGTGTGTGTGTGGAGGGGAGGAGGGGGGTTGTCTACGTATAGGTAGTAAAGGAAATGTGAAGTGAATATGATGATACAAGCAGCATGCTGCTGCTCAGCAGCAGGTGGATTGTTGTGTCACTGACAGTGAATCATCACCGAGTGCTGCTCTTTATTAAACCTGACCTCTGATCGCCACATGTCCACAGGATATATATATATATATATATATATATATATATATATATATATATATATATATATATATGTGTGTGTGTGTGTGTGTGTGTGTGTGTGTGTGTGTGTTCAGCAGATTGATGATTTGAAGCGAGCCCCCCGCCCCCGAGGAACAGCACAGCATCTGGTAAGTGATAACAACTTCTCTGGGGAGGCTTAAGTGCATGTAGGAGTACACAGGTTTTGCAGGAACAAGAGAGAGTCGGCGAAAGAGAGAACTAATAGATTCATAGTGAAAGGGGATGGTTCAGGGTTTTGTATAAGAGAGAGAGAGAGGGGACGAGGGGGGGGGGAGAGAGATAGGCAGGGAGAAGGCAGGAACCATGGTGAGCGTTGCACTGACTGAAGAGAAGCTGAGGCTGCTGTGGAAGGAAGCGGGACTGAAACCCGAAAGCTCCCGACTCGGAGAGTGAGAGTCGAGCTTTGGAGAACCACGAAAAGTCCAAGCTCCTTTTCGGCAGAAGCCAGTAGTTTCATTTTGACAACGCAGAATAGAAACATCCAACGCTATCACCACACTGTCCTGGAGTCAGAAGCAAGCCCAAGGAGAGGCACCAGGGTTTTCCTTCAAGTCCTTCCTTGGGGGATGTTGACGAGCCCCTATAAACCGCTGCCTGAGAGTCTGCAGCCTTCTGCTCATCTAGTACAAGATGCCTGTGATGAAGGGCCTCCTCGCTCCACAGAACACCTTCCTGGACACCATTGCAAACCACTTCGATGGCACTCGTAAGTATATCTTGTGGAAGATATTTCACTTGTCTGTGCAAAACCTTGTGTGAATACGAATTGCTTCCCGACTTGTCAAAGTAACTATAGTGCATCAACCAATTAGAGGTTTTTTTAATTTTTTTTATGTAATTTGTGGGACAAGTTAGCTGGTTCTTTGGCCATTCTGGCCACTGTTCACATACTAAAACCAATGCGTTTCAAACCTTTTTCCTCAAGAGATACACGTCAACACACACAGATTAAAATGATGACAACGGCAAATAGATTCCTCTCAGTTTTGACGCTCTAACTCTTCCAGTTGGGCTTTTAGGAGTTTAGCCGTTGGCATTGTTGCAACCCAGTTTAGGATTTGGACTGGCACTGAAAAACGCTGCTGTCAACAAATGTGTCCATCGGTAGTGAGATTCAATTATGAAACTGTAAGTGGTGACAGCGAACCACGGCTGGAAATGGAGACGGACAGCACATTCTACAAAGACGCACTGGAGCTGAAAAGAACCACTTATTGAGCTGCACAGCTGCTTTTTAGGATATTTCCTCTTACACACATTTTTCAGGAAAGATTTTTTTTTTAAAGCCAAAAATAAATTAAACAGCATTATTACATTTAGTAGAGCTCATGCGTGTCATGTGAAATTATCAAATAAATATAATATCCTAGTAATGTCTCATGTTTTATGTTTCTCACATATTACTCTCTAACAACAAACGTTAAAGGACGTGTGTTCTAGGTAACACGCGTTCGTACCTCTTCAGCTTGGTATTTACTTTGCATCCTCGTTTCTGTGATATGCAATGAGGTGAGGGAGATATCAATATTTGGGTGAAAAATGTGAGTTGTGCGATGCTAAAAAAAGACAAGAACAGTGCGCGTCTGTTTCGGCACACTGTCACTCATTTGAAAATTAATGTGATTCTGCCAGCAAGAACATCAAAATAAAAAATGAAACTTTTAGAATGAAACATTTTAGAACTGAAAAAGAGAAGCTTCACTCACACAACTTAACAATAGTCCGGTTTATCATAAACTTGACATGACAGGAATTTTGATGCCTCTACAAAATGTAAATTATTATTGGTAAATAAATGTCCTTTTCAGAACACGATGAAAGGCGTGACAGAGTGTGTACGGGTCGGACTGTTCATGTCCTTTGCAGCGTAACGAATTCAGTGCGATGGCACAACCGCTGTCACACGTTCAAACGTCTTCCATGCTTTGTCTCACCCTTGTTTTCTGTACGAAACACACACACACACACGCAAAAAAACACACACATACATACACACACACACACACACACACACACACACAAACACGCGGTCCACAGCTCTGAGGAGATTGTCTGAATCGCAGCCATCCTACCCCGGTATCAGATGTGCAAAGGGGGCGGCTTAAGTAGCCGAGTGGGTGATGAAAGGGCAAAAGATGACAAAGGACGGCTTCAGAGCGGAGAACCATTCAATGCCAAAAACTGCCTGAATCTGTTTTGGTTTAAATTAAATTCTTTCTGTATGATGACATGTCTTTGAAGACAAGGAGGAAACTATTTCAAGTTGAATTTCTACAGGCAGAGGACATAATAGAAATAGTGGCAGTGAGGCTTAGAGTGGAGTGGAGGTGATATTCGCATTGCTTTGGTATTAGTAGGTAAATTAATTACAAGGAGTCATGCGCATGAGCCAATTAAATACCATTCTTTTCAGATAACCTCTAAAATAATTTGTTTAATTCCCCTCCAAATATGTCAGACATTGAAATGGATGGTTTAGAAAAAAAACATATGATGTATCCTGAGATGACGAAGATGACATACATCTACATTGTTTCAGTGACATAGAAAGCTGCGTTTAATTATTATTTTTTTAATCCTCACTGTCCACAGTCTCTTAATTGCCTGCAGTCAGTGTTGAAATGACATCTTTCTCTTTCTCCCGGAAGAGCCGTCCTAGATGATTAGCAGTGAGAACAAATGACTGCACTTTAACTGTGGCTAAAAGAAGCAAAAGTATTAGCTGGATTACAAGTTGAATCAGAAATGTAGCAATGAAATAAAAAGAATTCTATTATAAGGATTAACTACGTGCTTTGGTTTTTTGACGGCTGTGAGTGTGAGCCGTGCTGTTCTCTTGAATGACGTGAAGCCGTAGAAACAGGACGAGGGGAGAAACGAGAGGACAGAAGAGGACAGGACATGATAACTGGCGATCAGGGATCTGACCAAGACAAAGCTTTGCGTGATTACAGTTGAGACGGCGATCTACTGATGCCCAGGTCATTGAAAGAAATCCGCTCAAAGGGCTGTAGTTTAAATTTAATTTGATGTCTTAATGAATTCTCACTCTTTGGATTGTGCTTTAGGAATTATCCAAATAATATAATGAGTATAAATCAGAACCAGGCCAATGTTTATTGGCTCCATCTCTATTTTGGAGGGAACAGGGTCTTTGTAACCCTGCAGAAGCAAATTGCAGCATTACCATATGTGTTTTTTTTTCTTGAGACAAGTCGCCATGGTAACACGAGTGTGGAAAGATCTCAAAGTATTTTTGTATTTATTGTGAGACAAGCTGCATATCAGAATGTAATTTCCTCTGGAACGGTTAACACTTCTTTTTGGTTTAAAAAAGTGTGAATCAGGTGAATCTACTATTGGTTTGTTTAAAACTGGCTGTTGTGGTCTGCAGGTGTTCTATGTTGTCGTTGCAGCTAAATCCTAACCAGTATAGTGTTTTCACAGCATGGTCCAACAAAGATGTTTGACTTTGAATCAGCTTGCACTCAGAGAGCG